TTCCCCAGATGATAAATTATACAATGGGGACGGGACCTAAATGGGATTAACAGTCTTTTCTAATGAGATCAAGATGAGCTGGTTAAAATATAATCAAGTCAATTATGGAGATAGAGTTCAGAAGAGGTTCTCTTTGGGACACCATATTGATTGCCTAAAGAGGCATAGAAAACCTTCAAAGTGCTGGGCATGCATGTCACAATCCAGGTGATGCTTACATAGGTATGGACACAGGTGATATAGACCAAGCTTGACATTTATGATCCTGACCAGAAGAAGCTTCATCACAATAATCAGCAAATGAGATGTATTCATACATCAAATGTCCTATTATACCAGTCCTCTGAACAAGCAATGGTTGGTGTGCAGCAATGATGCCACTAGCAGAGAAGTAGGCACCCTTGGCTCTAGGGAAAACAGAGCTGGAGAGAGACCAGTAGTTTGCCAGCACTTCCTAGCAATTCTATGGTGTAGTGATGCTCTGATGGGCAGCAATAGAAAGGGAGAGAAGGCTGACACCTCTGTCCAGGGTTGGTACTTAACTGCACTTGCAGCATTCAGGCCCCTCCTTCTAAATCTACAAATTGTATTTGGTAGATGAGCCTCTTTAGCCAGAATGGCTTCGTCAGCCAGCTTTTCTGAGTTGGCTTCCCACGTTATTAGCCAGTCATCACAGGGAACATAGGGAACTAGGCTAAATTATAAAGTTTCTGAGTCTATAGTATCCCCATGTGCCTAAAGGCCTGAGTGTCCTGCCAGACTTCTTAGGATAAATGCTAAAAGTAGAAATCCTCAGGGAGTTTGTGAAGAATAAGGGACAGTGGAGTTAGATGCAGACTTGTCTTTCCATCAGTCTAGGGCAGGGCCTTAAATTTCTATTATAATCCTTTAAATCCCCATTTTAGTAATGCAGTATTGCTACAGACACTAGACATCTTTCAAAACCACTTAGACTGTTTACCATTTGGTGGGTTTGCATTGTCTATTAGAAGGAACACAGAGGAAAGATCTAGAAATAGGTGTAGCAGTACCTCATTTCAATATACTTGAAATGTGAAGGTTACCATTGTGATGCCTTTTTTTTTTTTTTTTTTTTTTTTTTTTTTTTTTTTTTT